AATAGAATAAACATTAATATTGGATGCAATTCAACCATAATTTTTTAGTCAAATCAAATATAAAATAACCTAATCATGATACTAGCAATATAAAATAAAATAAGAGTAATTAAATTAATTAATTACTCACATTCCGCGAGTTCCTTTAATTTGCTACATCATGAATAAATTTTTAGTAACTTCAATAAAAATATAAATCAAATGGAAATTAAATTAAATTAAAATTAGAGTTGATTTGGTCCAAACCCTCAGTTAATTATACATTTCACGCCTTGATTTAAGGACGGAACTTCAGGAATTGTATGGACTCCTTGGAGTGCTTAAAGGAAGAAATAGTGAAAGAATGGGGAGCCTAGTGTTTAGGCTAAAGAGGGAGAAGAGAATGATTTGATGATCAATAATATTGATGATTGAGAAAGAGAGATATGACCTCTATTTATAAGGAAAAAAGAGGGTCGAAGAATCAAGAAAAGATAAGAATTCGAATCGGATAAAACTCTTGCGATAGATAACAGTTTTTGTGGTTTTGTTTTTATCATATCTTTTGTTCCATAATTTAAAATAGGATGAATAAGATATAGTTGGAAAGATCTTGAAGTATACTTTCTAACCCAATTGGAATCAGATTAAAAAAAATTATAGAATAAAAGATATGGAAATAGTGAGACAGTGTCAATTTGGATAGAGTTTGACATTTTATTCATATCTTTTCCGTTATAGCTTGGAATTGATATTATAATATGTCATTGGAAAGATAATTTCAAGAGATATACAACCATATAAAATTTGGATAAAAACTATGAAGCAAGAAAATAATATCTGTCTATCTTTGAATGTCTTTTAATTCGGATAGAAATAGGATTTTCAAAAAAGGAGATTTATTCAATTTCAAACTCTTTAATCTTATCTTTTCAAAAAGGATAATTAGGATCTTTTAGAAACTTATAGAAGCTTCCAATTAATCCTAATTGTTTTCGGAATTGGATTAATTTTTTTGGACCCTCCACATGATCATTGGGTCGTAGGTAAGGTGGGCTTAGGTTCGGTTTGGGCGCAGTTTAGTATTTTGGCCATAACTTATTCGTTATAACTCGGATTTGGGCTTATAATATATCATTGGAAAGAACTTTTAAAGCTCCATCCAACTATTAAATCATTGGACCCATATTAAAGACCAAAATAAACTGGATTAAATGTTTTTTTAAAAAAGACACGAAATGAATGTTTTAAAGGACACGAAATGAATTATTTTGGGTTTAAAGGCACGAAAAGAGGAAAATAAGTTATGGTTTGGGGAAATGGGATAGGAGTTGGGTTGGTTTATGAAATGAAAATATGGACTTAAGCACTCCAAGATTAAATACTTAACCGACCAATAATGGCGGTGAAAGGTTGTTCATCATCGGGTTTGGTTTTGGGGAGACATTTTTAGGTGTCTATAATACCCTTTATACTTATTTTTATACCACAATTTAGTGTTAATTTAATTCTACTCTTCTTCCACAGTATGTGTCACCTACTTCCAGATGGTATTGCAACCAAGCCATTAATGAAGACTATTCTCGGACTGGGGAGAATTCTGATGGTGCATGAGGATTTGTATTGTGAGGTATTTTTTATTTGTACCTTGTATGGAGATGAACATTATTAAGCTACTTCTTAGTTTGTTTATTAATGTATGAATTCCCTGACTCCCTCTAATATTCTCTTTTTAATGGAGGGGAATTATATGTGAACTTGATTGAAAATGTGCGATTTTAATTTCATGCTTCATAAAGTTGATATAAACATGATAGATAATAAATTGAACCAAGAAACAAAACTCTTTATTTATATTAAAAGAACATAATCCAGTACTCTTTATTTTTAATATAATATTGTTCTAATTTAGTTCTAATAATAGAGTTTTGGTACTAATAAAAGCACGATAAACATCTTCAGAAATTTAGACCCTTAAGGTAGTAGGAAACCAGAATAATTGCAGTAGTCAAACCTATTTTGATGCACTTTCCAATGGTCTTTTCAATGACATCAAGCCTTTCCCATATAATTCCAAAGGCGTGTTCAGCGGTTGGTATTCTGATCAGGTCTTCCTCCCTTGCCCACTGCCAAAAATTACATGCTCTGCACTTGTGGTATGGCCTTCTAGGATTGGCTTCGGATGGGGAAATTCGAAATTCGGCGATAGTATGGCCACCACAGTTGCACCTCTTACCAGCGACCTAAGAAATATCATTTTCCGAGTTGTTGAATTGGGTTCCCCTTGGAGTCGCCCTATTAGAGGAACTAATCGACATTTGTAAGTAAAATTGTTGGGATGGTGAGGATGGTTTTTGGATGACACACTTACACTAATTTATAAAGATGAATTTGGCGGAAAATTGCTAAAAATGAAAATTTCAAATTCTCGCTAACATGAGATCAAAGGGCCCATTAAGCTACAAATATCCCAATCTTGATTATTTTTAATTCAATTGTACATTTTCTTTACTTAGTTGTGATTATTTACGTGCAATAGGGTCTAAACTTGTTACAAATCTGGAACTTGTTATGAACTGAGTAAATTGGTTAGGATAGTGATGATGGATTTAGGATAGCACACTTACACTAATACAAATATCCTAATCTTGATTATTTTTTAATCAATTGTACATTTTCTCAAGACGTGCAATAGTGTCTAAACTTGTTACAAATTTGGAAATTATTATGAATTGAGTTCTAACTTGTTATAAACTAGGTCTACCGCAACTACTAAGATGTTAAGGGTTGGGTACTTGGGTTATATTTTGTACAAAGAACTTACTAGGAAAAGATTATCCCTTTACATCCTAGTACAAGTAGTCAAGTACACTTCTTTGATCTCTTTGGATTTTTGTTTTTGTATTGTCCCATCCTACAATACTTTTGTCAGCTGTAGTCTTTACTTCTTCAGTTGGATAAAGAATTGTCACATTAAGCTCTTTTTGTCAAAAGCTACTAACAGATTTTGAAGAAACTTTTTTCCTAACCAATGTAAATTTAAATTGTGTGGGTAAGTGGCAGCTAGAAGGCCAGACAATATTAGGATTAGTAAAACATCTCAATCATGATTTTTTTGTGGTCAAGTATACACTTCTCAATTCAATTGTGATACTTAAATGTAATAGGCTTGTTAAATATACATTTTTCCTAGGGTCTAAAACTCGAGAAAAATTTGGTCTTGTTATGAACTAAGTTAGTATGGCTTCAGTAATTCGAACTACCAGGTCTACCACAACTACTAAGGGTGGCTTATGTACAATTTAATTCCTAGGAAAACTAATCCCTTTAGCTTCTAGCAAAAGTACATTTCTCTCCTTTGTTTTACTTTTGTCTTTTCATATCCTATAATAGTTATGTCAGCTCTAGGATTTACTTCACCAGTTGGATAAAACTTTAACACTACTAAGCTATTTCTGTCAAAAGATAATTTAAAATTTTAGGGGACCTTTGTTCTTTACCAATGTAAATTTAAATTGTGTGAGTAAGAGGGAGCAGGAAGGGCAGACCTTATTTATGATTTTTGGCCTATCTTTAAACTCATAGTTTCACCTCCTCCAACAACCATCTTCACATTTTCCCTTTGCTATACCAAAATCAATTTGCTCTCTCTAAAATGTCAAACAACACCAAACCTTCCTCTCCACAACCAAAAACCAGGAAGCTTGCTAGTGTTAGGCAAATTCCAATGCAACCACACCCAACCTCACCTGTCTTCTACTTTACCCCCTTCATTGCTACTTCTGAACCAGAGCTTGATTTCAACAACACTCCCTACTATGTCAACCGCATTAACTACTACCAATGGCAGACCCAATACCCGTGATGCAACTATGTGACCAGTTGATTCAGTCCCTTGACTAAAACACCACTACTATCATCCGCAAAAGTGTGATGGAGGTAGGTGACAACGATGGTCGCCCTGCTTACTACCCAATTCTCTTTGATTTGGAAGGCTACTGCAAGAAAGGAGTGGGTTCCTTTGTGAAGTGGGTATGTGAAAAGGAAAGAGGTGAGGATGACCCTCCAGAACTTGTACCAATGTTTGACTTGAAGCCTAGACTGAAAGCTGAATTGCTTCCCTTGTTCACCCTTCCCCTCCAAGAGAGACATCTGTTTTTTTTCTCACAAAAGTGCAGACATTCATGTCATGGAGGTAGATGAGGAGATGAAGATGATCCATGTGAATGTCTTCTCTTGTAAGACTGAGAAGTCGAAGGTGAGGTACCACCGGGTGTCAATCTACGATGACAAGGACAAAGAACTGCCCGAAATACCTACTTATACCCTTGGTTCCATTGTTATTGTGTTGAATGCTCGTTGTGCTCATCTACCATCCTTTGCTAAGACTTTTACTAAGCTTTGCAAAGCTTACACCCCTGATGTTGTTGTAGTCACGGAGGCTCAGGCTGATACGTCGATGATTAACTACATAAAGGCGCAACTTCAAGGTATGTACGAGGTCGACACCTTTGGAACCTATAATGGGTATAGTGGTGTTTTAATAATCTAGGCCAAGAAGGATGTATTCCCATGGGTGAGTAAATGGGGCAAGCATGGTTATGGTCATCAGCTTGGGGTTGCCATTGAGGTTCGTCCTTTTTTGTCTCCCCTTTAACGCTCAATCCTACAAAAATTACCAAAGAGAGCCGTTGAAATATGGCTGAGAGACCTCTTCATAACGGGTCTCTATCTTAGGGGTCTCTTTGATAAAGAGACCCGTTCAATAGGGGGGTTTGTTTATGAGAACAAAGAGAGCCGTTGTCACTTATAGTGGGTCTGTTAGGTGAGTTAAAAAGAATATTTTCGAAGATGAAGAGACCCGTTGTGTGAAATATAGGGTATGTTTCGATATATCAAACAGACCTATTATGTTAAATAACGGGTCTGTTTATTCTCTACTTTTTAAAAAAATATATATAAATTATTTTTGCAATTTTCTTTTGAATTTTGAAAATTTTGTTATTTATGCTCCATAAAAATTAGCAAAAAATTCATATATTGTAATTTAAGATTGAATTTATTGAGACTTACATAAATTATTACATGACGTAAAATTGATGTGAATGATATCAAAAGATCATCCAATATATAAAACTGCAACAAAAATAAATTTACAATAATATGTAGTACATTAATAAGGGTTTAATACTCCATTTCTTATCTCCGTTGAGAATAAAGTGTGATCTGATGAATGAAGCAAATCTGACAAAACAAAAACAAAAAAATCATCATTATAATTATGAAACATTCTACACTAGAACAATTATTAAAAGATTTAAAAACACATTCGATTGTTTTCATAAAAGCACAAAAAATTGTAATCATGAATGTAATTGAAAGCTATTCTGCTCTAAAAAAAAATTGAAGGCTATTCTCAATTAAAAACCAATTAACAATACAAATTTTCAGCAAAGCATCGACGATGATGAAGACCATCAACTAATACAAATTTATCTTCAAATTAAACCAGGTTGTATAATTATACAAAGCCTTAATTTACTCCTTTAATAATTTCTCACCAACTAAAAAAATCAAGAAAAGAAAACCCATATTAATGGGACAAATTACCTGAAAAACTAACTAGCAGCAACAAGAACATGAACACTCGAACCACGCCAAGGTATGGTTATCAGACCGTTGTGGATCGGAGGAAGGAGAGAAGAATTCAACTAGACAGGGGGGAGAAGAACACCATCAACTACAAGATGTAAAAGGGAATAACTTCCATAAAATACAACTAAAACTAGAGATTAAAGAAGAAAAAGACATCAGATAATAAGCAACTTTTTTTATCAACACAAAATAATTTCAATTTTAACCATAAGTTTGTATCGCCATCTGCCAGTTTATCAGATAATTATTAACAAAAAAAATACAATTCAGATTGTAATTAAATTACAAGACATTAATTCGAGTTTTAAAACAACAAATCATGAATATAATAGCAATTTAACGATTCAGATAGGTAAAAAAAACAAGACGATTTAAGCGAGTGAAAATACCTGGAGAATATGTGATCGACGAATTGAATCAGCGAAAGCCTAAATCGAATTAGTGAAAAGAAAACCTTGAATTTGAAGGTATAATGATTCGATCCAAGGAAAACGAAGAAGTTGCGACGATTTCAATGGAGGATTTGAAAGTATTTAGGACAACAAAAATGGTGATTTGAGGAGAAATAGAAAAAAAAAACTATATAAAAATGAAGTTAAAAGACTAGAAGGGAAAAAGCTAAGAACTGTCGGCGGCATCATTAGGGTTGGGCGGAGGTTTTGAAGAGAGAGAGAGAGAGAGGAGAATGAGTTTGAACTTTGAAGGGATTTAATAATAATTAAAAGAAAGTAAAAGTACCATGTAAGTGACCCGTCAAATGAAGGTGGATCTATTAGAAATGAAGGGATTTTCTTCTCTTATCAGAAATATGGGACCTAATATAATGAAGAGACCCGTTAGGTTTGGTAACAGGTCTCTTATTTTTTACTTTTTTTTTCTAATATACATAAGAGAGCCGTTATAATTAAAATTGGGTCTTTTACATCAAATAGACCCGTTAGTTAAATTACGGGTCTATCATTTGGATCTTTTTTCCAAGTTTTGTAGTAGTGGCTTTATTATAGACTAGTTTACTCTTGACTGGTCAAATTTGGTTTAGTAATTTGTTTTAAATTGTTTTTATCATGAAAGAGTAGAATTGTATTGATTATGGAGGAGTAGAATTGCTACATTTTATTTAATTATGGATTTCATGTACCTTTGTTTAAATAAATTAGGAGGATTTATTTATTATTTGATCTAATTTTTAAATTCAATTTTCCTTGGAGTTTAATATTGTTTGTAAGTCTCCATTCTCTTATTCAAAAACAATTTGAATTTTTAAATAAAAATGAATGTCACTATAGATTGAATGTAATCATGTATGTTTTCTTTTTTTAAACGAATTGTTTGATTTTTTTTTTCAGTTTAAACATATTTAAGATCCAATTTTCTGTCAAGGTTAGGTTTTAGATTAAATGTAGCAGCAATGTTTTAGCTTCAATTTGTTTTTGGTTTTTTTTTTTTTTGAAATTGAAAAAAGTCGCATGCTTAAATTTAGCAGCAATGTTTTAGCTTCAATTTAGGTTTTTTTTTTTTTATTTAAATCACATGCTTAAATTTGGTAGCAATAATGTTTTAGCAATGAATTTTTACATATAAACCCAATTATGTAAATAATAAAATTTATATACAATTATTTGTAATTAACTGTTTAATTAAGCAGGATTTTGCTCCTAAATTCCAATCCCCTCCACAGTCCCCTCTATAGTTTGCAGCTTCAACATGGTATTCCGACAAGGGTTTGGATGATAACCCCTCAATTTATTCTTGGAACGAGGACAACTCCAATGGCAGTGGCAGTTCGGTGGGGAATTGAGCGTGCTGGATTCGAGTGGGTGTCTGCTCTTGGAATTGGATTTTCTCTCGGCGTAGTATTAGTTCATGTTATGGGTTTTCTTTGCATGTTATGAATTAAATTTAATTTGTGCTTCCATTAGTATAATTAAATTTAATTTGTGCTTCCATTAGTTATGTTATATTATCATGGTTGTAAGAACTAATTAATGGACGCGTTAGTTATGTTATATTAATGACTGCTCTACGATTAGTCTGTCGAAGCACCCTAAATGCGTAATTTTAGTAATTTCTTAACTTTAAGTATATCATGACTTTTACACGTATTGTGCCTTACATGAGATCTCTAGCAAGTTATATGATATTGTCGGGTGCAATAGATATTTCAAAGGAATTAGAAGATAAAAACTAAAACTAAATTGATGGATTTAATAAGAAATCGATGTTCAAGTACATGATCATATGCTTTGTAACGATTAAATAACCATCTTTGTTGCAAGAGGGTTTAGGGTTTAGTTTGAGATTTGAGGATTTAGGGTTCAGTTTGAGGTTAGAGGTTTGAGGGTTTAGTTTAAGGTTCGACGGTTTAGTTTGAGGGTTTAGGGTTTAGTTTGAGGTTTCGGGTTAAGCATTTAGGGTAAAGTTAGAGGTTTTAGGGTTTAGTTTTAGGTTTGAGGGTTTAGGGTTTAGTTGAAGGTTTGAGGGTTTATTTGGAGGTTTGAGGGTTTAGGGTTTAGTTTGAGGTTTCGGGTTTAACATTTAGGGTTTATGTTGAGTTTTTAGCGTTTTTGGTTTGATGGTTTAGGGTTTAGTTTGAGGTTTGAGGGTTTAGAGTTTAGGGTTTAGTTTGAGGTTTGAGGGATCAGGGTTTAGGGTTTAGGGTTTAGTTTGAGGTTCCGTTTAGGGTTTAGGGTTTACATTGAGGTTTTAGGGTTTAGTTTGAGGTTCCAGGTATAGGGTTTAGGGTTTATAATTCAAACAATTGTGACACAAAGTAGTTAAAGCCACAAACACTACTATGCATCATACATTGAAGAAAATTGTTTTCCAATTGCTATTGACAACAAGGGGCTATTGACAACTTTTCATATCAAAGGAAATACTACATAGTTTCTCAAAAATACAAACCATACATAAATTAGGTGAAAGTTGTTTTACATAAGGAAGTCATTAGGGTTTCTACTATCTCAATAGCAAAGCTACAAAAAGTCACTATCGTCAGTGTCCCACCTGTCTGCTGACTCGTCCCCCGTTTTCATTTCGAACAACTCCTTCGCATACTCTAACTTCTAAACATACTCAACTGGGTAATTACTGTAGTTGAATGGCGCAGTAGTAACTAGATCAGGCTGAGCCATCTCGTCCCACCTATTTTCAGCTACTATCTTTCTTTTGAAGTACATTCTTTCATCTGGATCGTTCACTATTATCTCAATCGGGTCCTCATGAGTAAACTCCATCCACTCGAATGTGAACTCGTACTTTTTCTTTTCTGAAAAAATGCACTTCCTTCCCAATAGAAGAAGTCCATATTTCTCTTCATCAGTGCAGATAAATTTTTGGGCATGACCGACCAAAGAATACCAACAGTCAAGGCCGTCAAACAATTCAAAGAAGTGTTTCAAATGCACACAATAATTGGGAAAGTTGTGACACACGTTCAGCCTTTTTTTTAATTGTCTCAAGTCAAAACTTAAACAAATTTTTGCTACGTGGAGCAAATACCACATAAAACAATAAGCCTCTTTGCGAAAGTGTCTTGGTTTGCCAATACTAAATATTGTGAAGAAAGGGTAGTCCGGGTTAAAGTCAATACCTTTGACAGGATCAAGTACTCCTCCTCTTGCAATAGTTGCTAGTTGCTAACCTGTCATCAATCGTTTGTAATGTAGTGGCATGTGGATGTGCCGAAGGACATTATTAAGACCGTTGAGACCATTTTTCAACTTCCCTACCATTCGCAAAAGCCTCTTCCTCTTCTTCTTAGCACGGCTGTTAGCTGCACCCCATGCATAAAAAACATGTTAGTATAATCTATAAAAAGATTAAAGATTTATTTGGGATAAAAAATATACCTTTGTTTCCCATCTGCTCTCTATCACAGCTAATAACTCAGATCACGTAATGTCACTAAAATTTTATACTTACCACTATATATATATATATATATATATATATATATATATATATATATATATATATATATAATACATAAATGGGGATAATAATGGTGATAAATGTAGTGTTACCTAACCCTATATTTTTATAATATTTAACAATGATTTTTTGGAATAAGACTCCATTTTAACATTAATACATGTGTCGATTTTTTTTTTGCATAATAGTTCATTTTAACCCATTGTTTGTATAATAATTTAAAATGCTATTAAGTATTTAGTATTTAATATATGTACAAATGTTGATTTTAAATTTATAAGAGCCCATTTTTACATTTGATACAAGTGTTACGTTCTTTTTAAAATTCTATGCTAAAATATATTTTTATCAATGTCAAAAAGCCCCCCTTCCTCAACATTGTTTATTGAAATAGTGTGTTTAAATTAATTATTAATCGATGTAATTATATAATTAAAAAAGTTTTAAAATTTAATTATATATAATTCAATAAATAAGTCACTTTATTTAACTAGAAATATATTTAATTACCGATAAATCAAGAAGGGCTCCTTATTAGAATAACATAATAGTTTAAAATTATTCTTTGATGCAATATTTACTTTTGATTTTAGGGTGTTTTTTTCTTTTTCTTAATAAAAAAATTCAAAAAAAAAGACATAAGGTCCTTAAAAGTGGAAAATGCAAAAGTTTAGGTCCTTTATATTAGCTTAACTCGTATAACTTGGGTTTATGACTCATTTACCAAAAATGAAGAGCTTTTTTTTTCTTGTTCAGATGACTTTTCATCAAACTGGAAACACCAGTTAAATATTTAATGCTTCCAACTGTATACAAGGGGGAAAAGCTTGAAACTTTTGTCTTTATTTAGTTTTAATCTATAACATTTGTGTCAGTAGTAGGTTTCACTCCTGCAGTCCATCAGAAAAATAATTCAGTGGTATGAAGTGTAAGTCTGGTTTCCAGATTTTATGGGATTCACAATACATTACATTTTAGACTAGAAGTTGAGGAATCCTAGTTACATACATTAGACTTCATTTAAAACGAATGGAGGTTCTATTTTTTGGAGCCAATGGAGCTATGAAAGTGTTGTATGGGTCGGTTTGGGTCTTGGCCCATTGAATCAGATATTTTTACAGACCCAATGGAGCTAAAATGGTAATCTGTGAAAGTCCATTAAGTATCTACGTTATTAAGCTGATAGGCATCAAATACAAAAGTCAACGTATATCATAATTTTTGGTATGACCGTTCACACACTAAATTCAATTGACAAATACATACCCCTCACACACTAAATTCAACTTTTACACACTAAATTCAACGTTCACACCCTAAATTCAAATTTTCCATGATTTTTGAAATCCCATGAAAAATAGTTCAACTTGTTTACTAATTACATTCACAATTCATGGCTATAAATACCCACGCATTTCAGTTTGTTAATTCATCACAACTTTCTTTTTCTTTTCTTTACTTCATCACAATATTCTTTTACGAGTGTAAAATTCTAACTTGTGTTAAAAAAAATGGAGTATGATGGTCTTCTATGCACTACTATTACTTTCAAGGACTACCTGAACACCAAACTGGTAAGTTATAACATTCTTAATCATTCCTATACTTACAGTTGTTTTTGAGTTCATTTAAGAGTTCATTTTGATTAGTATTTGCATGTGATTATGTTATGTTTGTCATTGTCGTATAGGCATTTCATGCAGATTGGAGACCTTTACTTCATCGATCTTTGGATAACGTTCGAGTTATGCGCGCCAATGGGGGCATTCATGGAATGTCACTATTATTGGTACTAATGTTCCATCTACTCGATCAGTGTTTCTTCAAGAAGGATGGAACATATTTGTTACAGATAACGCCGTTGCTGAGGGTGAGATTTTGAAGGTCTACTATGCTGCGGGTGGGTTATTTTTTGTCCACATTTATAATGCGGTAAATGAGGAAAGGCTTCCAAATGCAGGAGCCCAGTAGAAATATATTGATTAATGCTGATTTATTTTTTTTTAAAAAAAGTGTTTGGTTGACCTTCAAAAGTGTTGAATGAAGTACTAAGT